GTACTGTAGGGCCGTAAATATTACCTGTACTACTTTGGGGGTTCTGTATCATAATCACAGTATAACGGGCCCCAAAACCCTATTCTTTTTATTCAGTCCCCTGTATTATGCGAAGGGTTTCGTCAGGGTCTGCGTGGTGGATGTATCACGTGCTCGAGTCTGACACTGAGCCCTAAGACCCTAAACCAGAACTCAACAGCCTAAGTCCCTGAACCAAAGCCTCCTGGAGTAGTAAGCCTAAATCACGCATGTCCTAAACCGAAGCCCTTAGAGACCCCGTGGGAAACCCTTTAAAACCCAGAGACTCCAATATCCCCTAATTAAGGAGTACACCTTAAGTCATATTAGGGGTCCTAGTATAATTTAAGGTATATTCCTTGACTGGGTTGGCCTTTAAACACCCTGAAAAATATTTATATATGGGGTCCCTTATAAACCCAAATAAGGAAAATCAAAAATGTCCCAAAATCCAACCTAGTTGATTGCCCTGTACGTTAAACTCCCGTGCCTTCTGAGAGATCTCGGGCTCCTTCGGCTGCGAAGTCAGCAGAGTGGGCTTGTCTTCCTCTCCGTCGGCAGAACAAACGTACTTGGAGGTTCAGGGGTAGTTATAAGTAGCGTTATAAGTCCCCGAATATGGGTAATTATCAGTAGAGTTACCCTACTTATAACCCTACTTATAACTACCCATGAACCTCCAAGTAGAGTGTAAAGAGGCTAGTGTAGGGGCGCGAAACCCTCCGTTGAAGGCTCTTGTGGTTCTAGATGGCGAAAGGCACAAAGAGGTTTCAACACCATGATTCCATGATCCCGCTAGATCCGGCACCCTAAACTAAAACGCAGCTACAGTAGTTACAGAGTTCGGGCTTTCGGTGTCGTCGGAGTTTGCTATTGAGGCAGTGGCTCAAGGGCTTGCATGCGATCGGAGGTGAGGGGCCCATGTAAGGTAACGCGCGGACATCCTTACCTTTCTGGGCTGTTCGGACGAGACGTTTTCCTGCACTCGGATTCTTCTGTGGGAGCTTACATGAACTACAGAGTTGCTAAAGACTATAGCCTTTGGGTGATTCAACGAACTCAGCACAAGCCGGAACCGAGACTCAGACCCATTCGCTACTTTTCCACGGACATCCCCTCCAAACCCTTGAAACCACCCTAAACCCAACACACTGGAAGACGGCAAGTCAGCCTGATAAGAAAAAATACATACAAGCTTCTGCAATCTAACCACAGGACCCTGCAAAGACTGTAGACACCTACTGTAACGCCCAAACCATCTTAGAAACCCAGCATTCCCTAAACCCCTGAGCTCCTAAATCCTGAACCCTAAACCCTAAACCCCTAAAACTCCAAAACCTTAAAACCCTTGGTCCTTCTTCAAGTGGCCTGAAATCTTCTCGGCAAGCGCACGCATTTTCTCTGGCTGAGGAATGGCCTCCTTCTTCTTGTCCTGACGGCTTAGGGCTCAGGGTTTAGGTGCCCTGTTTGGGGCCTACCTGGACCCTAAGAAAACCTACCTCTTTAGGGCTCCTTAATATGATTTCCTTATACAAGTCATTACAAAGGTAGGTGATTCGGAGTTAAGGTAAGGATTCCTGTAAGGGTTCTATACGGGTGACGACATTCAGGACTGTAAGGTTCTATTGCCCCAAGGGTCCCAAGGACCCAATAATTAGGAACTCGGTTTTAGGATAGTAGGTATGTAGGTTACTATGTAGGAGAATGCTAATTACGTACTTGGACCCTTAGGGTTATGGCTTTGAAACCCTCGGAGTTGAATGCTTAGGGTCTCAGGGTTCCGAGGTTGCGGGCTTCGGCCCGACAGCTAGCAGTGTTAGGGTTGTTGACGGCTCTACCAGGGTTCCTATAAGGGATCTATAAGGGGGTACTTTTAACAAAGGGTCAAAGTGGCTTTAGTAATTACCTGTGCTAATTTGGGGGGGTTCCTTATTACAGTTATAGTATAATGGGCATCTACCTGGCTGCTGAAGGGGCCTCGTAGGACGGGCTAAAGTACCTTTGAGGGTGCTTATAACAAGGATCCTGCTACCAGCGCGTTTTGGGGCTTGAGGTCTTAAGATTTTGGGGCTGTAATTTCTACGCAAACTCAACAACAAACAATCCCTGCAGCAAACCAATAACCTTGAACCTAGCCCCAAAGTTGAAAGGTTTTGCTTCCACCCGAAAACCCCAATCTAGACCCGTAAACATACATGTCTTAAACAGGGTAGAGACACGCGACTACGGGACGGCTTACTATATGTTACAAGGACCCAGGAAAGGGAAACCCTAAACCCCTAAACCTCCTTTTGTCGAACTCCGTGCCTTCGATGCATCCTCTTTCTTCAGACTTCGCCTTGTTCAGGGGCAAAACCTACAGGGTTTAGGGTTTGGAAGTTACCGAAAATTAGGGGCACTTCCTTGCCCCACTCTCCCTGCTCCATCCACGTCAACCAAGAATCCTTAAGGAACTATAGAAGCATTCCAAAGAATAAGAGCGGGCACTACCCGAGTCGGGGGATTCGGTCGAAGCCTGACGCGCTCCCATGCTGCACAGCTTGTAGTTGACCGCTTTTGGCTTTGGGGCTATTCAGGTTTCAGCTAGACCTAAGTATCCACTTCATTATCTGTAAATATGCACAGACCACGTGGATGAATATATGGAGGTATGTCTGTGTTATACATATATACTATGCATGTGTGTATGTATATGTAATTATATATATATATATAATTCTGTAAACAACATGAAGCCCTGAATCCTGGTAGTATTGTGGGGGCCCAACCCTAGGAGACTCCGAGAGTCTACAACCTGTTTGGACTGGCCTTGAGGGACCCAAACAAGAGCTTAAAACAAGCCCTGACACTAACTCCAAAAATCCGCTAGACAGGGGCACTAAAACCCTAATTTAAACCTCAAATCCTCAGTCCTTCACTAAAACCCTAAAACACAAACCCTCAAGCCCTAGACCCTATACAACCCTAAACTAAACCCGAAGCCCTAAAAACCTTAAACTCGAACTTAAATAGCCTACCGGTGATTAAGGGGGAGTGTGAGAGTAGATCCTTATAGTAATCCCTATATGGACCCTTGTAGCTATTATATAGAACCCGTTATATAATGAATCCCCAAACCCCCCAGCCTCAAAACCTGAACGCTAAACCCCAAACCTGCAAAACCCTCAACCCCCGAAACCAGGAACCCCAAACCCTAAACCCCTAAAAGAACCCCAACTCAGGACGACTTCAACAAATCGCCACAAGCCGCTGGAGGTCGGCACGGAACTCACCGACCTGAGCCTCCTGCGAAGGGTACTTAAAGGCTCATGGGACTTAGTAACTGGTTACTTTAGGGACTTATAAGTGCCATAACCCCAATTAGGGTCCCTTTTAGGGTACTTGAAGGATCATGGGACTTAGTAAGTAGGTTATAACTGGGGTTATAAGTCCCCTAAGTGGGGTTATCCTAATTATAACCTACTTATAACCTTACTTACTAAGTCCCATGAGCCTTTAAGTAAGGAGCTCACGTGGGCTCTGGGTTTAGGGTTTTAGGGTTTAGGGTTTGGGGTTTAGGATTCTAGGGCTTTGGGGTTTTAGGGTTTAGGATTTTAGGGTTTTGGGGTTTTAGGGTTTAGGATTTTAGGGTTTTGGGGTTTTAAGGATTAGGATTTTAGGGCTTTGGGGCTTTAGGGTTTTATGCAAAGGTGGGAAGCTTACGTGGGCTCTGGGTTCTTTGTGTTTTTGAGCGTGGGCTCTGGGTTCAGGGATTAGGGTTTTAGGGTTTAGGGTTGTGGGAGTAGGGTTTTAAGTTGTTTTTTTTCGGGTTTAGGGTTTTCGGATTAGGGTTTGAGGTTTTAGGGTTCAGGGTTGTAAAGGTAGTGGTTTAGGGATTAGGGTTTTAGGGTTTAGGGTTGTGGGGGTAGGGTTTAGTTTAGGGATGAGGGTTTTAGGGTTCAGGGTCGTAGGGTTTAAGTAATGGCTCCGGGTTTAAGGTTTCGAGTTTAGGGCTTTAGGGCTTACGGCTAGGTCTTAAGGTTAAGAGCTCTTGCATCTCTTTGGGTTTAGTGTATGGATGGGGGTTTCAGGGTCTAGGGTTTTAGGTCTTCGGGTTGGGGACTACATGGCTCTGGGTTAGGGTACTTGGAGGTTCATGGCACTTAGTAACTAGGGTTATAAATAAGAAAGCTATATGTATACTTGGTTATATCCCCAGTTAAGGTACTTATAGCTGTACTTACTAAGTGCCATGAACCTCCAAGTAGGATTTGGATGGTTTAGGCTTAAGCGTTTAGGCTTTCGGCCTTCGGGTGCCGGGCTGGGTTTGAGGACGTAAGGTCGTAAGGTAAAGAACTCTTACATTGCTCTGGGTTTAGGGTCTGGCAGCGGTGGTAGTAGTAGTAGTAGTAGTAGTAGGAGTAAGAGTACGAGTAGGAGTAGGAGTAGGAGTAGGAGTGTAGGAGTACTAGGAGTAGTAGGAGTAGTAGGGGTAGTAGGGGTAGTAGGAGTAGTAGTAGTACTAGTAGTAGCAGCAGCAGTAGCAGTAGCAGGTGTATAGCAGTAGTCGTCGTCGTAGTCGTGGTCGTAGCAGCGGCAGCAGCAGCTGCAGCAGCAGCAGCAGCAGCAGTGCGACCAGCATTGCTACGCCACTAGATCATCTAATTAAGGTAATGTTAGGGTACATCGCTGGGGCTATGGGTTTCGGGGCATCAGTCGCAGGTACAAGCCTGCAGCTTAGAATCTACCCAAAACAAACGGCGAGAACCAACACCAAACGACGGTACGCGTGTGCGGGGTCCCAGCCCTGCTGCCAGCTAGTGATCGCACAGTAGTACGAAACCAATTATGTCATAGGCTAGACCCACAAGCCCCGCAACAGTAGCTCTTGTGTGCAGCTGGCTAGCTGCTATGGACTTGACCCTGTCAGCCGCTTTCGGTTTTACAATACTGTTTTATGCTGCGAGACATGGCCTTGGCTCGGAATTCGCGGAAGCCGGTGA